TGGCAGATTTGTCACCCATATTAAAAGGGGTTTGTTTTGTTTTAAGTCTCCAGCCTATTTTATCAACAGGGGTTTGATCCTTGTGCCTTTAACAAGGACGGCTATAGGCTGGGATAGAACAGGTTTCATGTCATTGGTTCCCAAAGTTCCATCCCATGCTCATAAATTAAGGGAAAAGAAAAAGAGCATTGCACGATTGCTACAACTCTAAAAAATGTTTGTGTTGTCTTTCCCCAGGTTTGATTATCAGGAGCTGTTGCACAACTCTACCTTTTGTATCATCCCCCGAGGGAGACGTTTGGGATCCTTCCGGTTCCTAGAAGCGTTGCAGGTACGTGATTATTATTACTGTATTGTTCTTAGATTTTTAATCCCATCTTTTTATATATAACTCAAGGTGGTGAACATACCTAATCTTCCTACTTCCTCTTTTCCCCACAACAACAACAACCCTGCAAAGTGGGTTGGTCTGAAAAGGAGGGATTGGTCCAAAGTCAGCCAGTTGGCTTTCATACTTAAGGGAGGCTTCTGATTTTTAAGTCAGCATCTTCACCACTACTCCTCACCACACTGGCTCTGTATCACAGATTTAAATTGTTTTAAAATTTATTTCTATTTATTGTAAATATTCACACATGTAAATACATGTCTGTGCACACACACACACACACACACACACACAGAGTAACCGTACAAGGAAAAATTAATATAAAGTAATCCATTTAAGATCAAAAGCTCTATTACACAGAGAGTCCTCAACTTCAACAATTTGTTTAATGACTGTTCAAAGTTACAACAACACTGAAAAAAGTGACTGACCATTTTCACACTTACAACCATCACAGCATCCTCATAGTCACGTGATCAAAATCCAGACGCTTGGCAACTGCCTCATATTTATGACGGTTGCAATGTCCCGGGGTCATGTGATCACCTTTTGTGACCTTTTGACCAGCAAAGTCAATGGGGAATCCAGATTCACTTAACAACTGAGTTACTAACTTAAGGACTGCAGTGATTTACTTAAAAGCTATGAAAAGAAAAGTCATAAATTGGAGCAAAACTCACTTAACAATTGTCTTGCTTAGCAATAGAGATTTTGGGCTCAGTTGTGGTTGTAAGTCAAGGGCTACCAGTACAACAAATGCTTTGATGTGAATTGAAGTGGTTCTTTTTTCAATGTTATCCTCAACTTGGGAATAAAAAAGACAGATCATTTTATGCTTGTAATGTTGACATCCCAAATTAACCTGAAAAAGAATATTTTTCTTTCCCTTCTCTCTTCCCAGTACTTTAAGGTATCTGAACAATAGAATGTTAATCATCTCTAATTGTATTATAGAAACATTCCTGTGTTGGAATAATAATGCAGTGTATCAAGATTTATAACAGCATAATAAAAAGGTTAACAACAATCTTGCAATAATACCTTTAACACCATCAAACAACATCTACCTATCTCAGGTCCTGGAGATAGACTCCATAGGCCACTGATGGCGAACCTTTTAGACACCGAGTGCCCAAACTACAACCCAAAACCCACTTATGTATTGTCGGGTGCCGGGTGCACGTGGCCCATTGGATGAGTGTGGCCCATTGAGGGTGGTAACGGCACACTGAGTGGACTAAAAAGTTCAGTCAATCAATTCCAACTTTGCGAGATCTTTTTTTCCCCCGCGAGAAGTTGAAATTGATTGATTGATTGATTGGACGTTTTTTTTTTTTTTTTTGCACACGGCGGTGGAGGCCTAAAGTGAAAAGGTTTTATAAAACCCAACTGAAGGCCTAGGACTGGGGCGATGGCTCGCGTGCCCACAGAGAGGGCTCTGCGTGCCACCTGTGGAACACGTGTCATAGGTTTGCCACCACGGCCATAGGTGGATAAAAATGTCACATCCAGTCTAAACCTCTGGCAGACTGTGCGACCCGCTCTAATAAAGGTATTTCTACTTCTTGAGAACTGCCGTTCCAAACTTGTCTCAGTTTCTCAGAGGCTCCCTCCCATTTCTGTACGAGCTGAAACAACCAGATGAAATCATTGTTTTAAGTGAATTTCCTAGTGTTGCAAGGGTGCTAGACTGATCTTCAGAAATAGCCCAGCTGATAGGTCACAGACCCAAAGGAGCAGTTGCATTGAGCAAAACCTCCCATTCACGCCTCCCTCCCCCCCACTCACTTTGCAAAGGGTGCCAGACCTGTTTCAGAAATAGCCCAGCTAACAGATAAGAGGGGCAGGTTGCAAGGGAGCAGAAGAAACTAGGAAAGTGTAACTGATTCAGTGTTTCTCAACCTTGACCATTTTAAGGCATGTGGACTTCAACTCCCAGAATTCCACAGCCAGCATTGCTGGCTGTGGAATTCTGGGAGTTGAAGTCCACATGCCTTAAAATGGTTAAGGTTCAGAAACACTGTTAAATAAGTGAAGTGTCACTGCTGGAGCTGGACTAAATCTGCAGTAGCCTTCAGAATGAGCAAGACAGCATAGAAATAGAGAAAAGAGTGCCTGCTGCTATTTATTATTATGTGTGAGTGTGTATGTATGTTTGTGTAGATCAGTTTTGACTCCTGGCAACTGCTTGGTCAAGGCCCTGCAGCTTTTTTGGCAAGATCTTCAGGAGTGGCTTGCCATTTCCTCCTTACTAGGGCTGAGAGGAAGGGACTGGCCCAGGGCCACCCAGCCGGCTTCTTGCCTAAGGCAAGTCTAGAACTCATGGTCTCCTAGTTCCTACCCCGGTGCCTTAACTACTATAGGTAGTCCACGAATTACGACCACAATTGAGCCCAGCATTTATGTTGCTAAGTGAAACATTTTGTTAAGTGAATTTGCCCCATTTAGTTGTTAAGTGAATCATTGCATTTGTTAAGTTAGTAACGTGGTTGTTAAGTGAATCTGGATTCCCCGTTGACTTTGCTGGTCAGAAGGTCACAAAAGGAGATCACATGACTTCGGGACACTGCCACCGTCATAAATATGAGCCACTTGCCAAGCATCCGAATTCTGATCACGTGACCAGCGGGCTGCTGCAACGGTTGTTAGTGTAAAAAACGGTCATAAGTCACTTTTTTTTCTGTGCCGTTGTAATTTTGAACGGTCAGTCAATGAAGTGTTGTAAGTCAAGGACTACCTGTATATCAAACTGGCTCTCCACTGCCCATAATAAAAACAGCACGGCCCTTTTTGTTGGCAGAAATAGCAAAAAAGAAAAAAAAATCTGTTGTGCACTCATTAGCGATGGAGCCAACACCACTCAAGCGATAGAACCCATCATTCCTTTTCTGCTTTAGATTTACTGTGCATTCTTAGAGCGGTCTGAAACCCAGATCCAGCAGTTTTTCAAAAGAGCACTAAACTGTATATAAAAGCATGAAGAGCTGACAGGGCCAGCCAGTCCCTTTAGGGCAGCTGCCTTTGCAGAAATCCAATCTTTCCAGCCATCCAACTGAGATGGTTGCAGAAGGCAACTAATCAAAGTTGGGCCGATCCCAATCCTAACCGTATCATCCACCATGTTCTCGGTGGAGCTTACTGGATCATTCCCAGAGCTAAAAATGGTGTCAGGAAAACACCACTTTAACTGCTCAATGTCTATGGCAGGGGTCTTCAAACTTGGCCCTTTTATGACTTGTGGACTTCAACTTCCAGAATTCCTCAGCCAGGCCTGGCTGAGGAATTCTGGAAGTTGAAGTCCACAAGTCATAAAAGGGCCAAGTTTGAAGACCCCTGGTCTATGGAGATTCTCAGTCATCCAGTTCGTCTTTGGGAGAACTGCTAAAGATGACTTTATACTGCTTCAGCTGGATATGGGCTGGATATGAGATAAAGGCAGCCTCCTTAGGACGTGGCTTTAAAAAAATGACACGGGTGTGTTGGTTCCACGGTTGGGAATGTGAGAATGAGGTCCTTTTTCTCTGAGCTTGGTGGTTTGCTTGCAAACATTTTGTTATCAAAACTTTTATTTATTTATTTATTCATTTGTATCCCGTCTTTAATTATTTTACAAATAACTCAAGGCGGCAAACATATCCAACAGGCTTTCCTATTTTCCCCATAACAACAACCCTGTATTTACTTCAGTTTTTTGGCAAAACCATGCCCATAGTGAACCACTGGTTTGCTTAATGACCACAGTGTTTGCTTAAAGACCCCCGTTAAAAAAGGTCATAAAATCAGGTGGGTCAAGTTACTGATCCTTTTACGATCATCATGACTTAGCGACCATGATGGGTTATAAGTCGAAAACTTTCTATAAACTCTCCTGAAAATCCTTCGAGCTTTGTGCTCCCAGGTCACTTTCTCTCTCCGCTCCTGCCTCCTTGTGATCCTTGCTCTCTTCTCTCGTTGATCCAGGCTGCTTGCATCCCGGTCCTGCTCAGCAATGGGTGGGAGCTGCCATTTTCGGAGGTGATTGATTGGAGTAAATCGTCCAGAGTTGGGGATGAGCGGCTTCTTCTGCAGGTAACAGAAGCAGCTGGCTAGGGAACTCTGGGAGATGAAGTCCCTACTTCTTAAAGTCATCAGAGTTGGGAATCACTGCTCTAATGGATGGATTTTGGAGCCCTTGTTCATTATTATTTAATTTTTAAAAACCACCTGAAAAGAACATTGTCCTTTGTATGAAAGGCTTTCATTTTCCTGTGTAAAGTACAGCAATTATTTGGAATCTGGAGGTATTCATTTATTTAGCTCTTTGGAGTATTTTTATATGGCCTTCCATTGATCACGTCTCACTTATTTCTTGTTCTTGCTGTGGGTAACTTAAGCACTGATTTAAATAGAGAAACTGATCTAGTAATGGGTGGGATTCTGGTAGCCGAATTACTGTAACCTTTATTATGACATTGCCTTGAGCGTCCTGGATAGATTGCATTTGTAGCAGGCACGGACCTTGTCGGTCAGAGAAATATCAATTCTGCGGATAAATAGCTCTAATATGCATACATAGCTTAGTCAATGTCCATTCTGCAGTCTGTTTGTTTATTTACATCCCACCTTTTATTATTTTTTCAATAACGAAAGGCAGTGTACCTTCTTAATACTCCTTCCTCCTCCTGTTTTTCCGCACAATAACAACTCTAGTGAGATGGGTTGGGCTGAGAGAGAATTACTGGCCCAATATTACCCAGCCAGCTTTCATGTCTAAGGTGGGACTAGAACTTACAGTCTCCTTGTGATTGGCTCCAAGTCACCCAATTGGTTTCGTGTCTAAGGTGGGACTAGAACTTACAGTCTCCTTGTGATTGGCTCCAAGTCACCCAATTGGTTTCGTGTCTAAGGTGGGACTAGAACTTACAGTCTCCTTGTGATTGGCTCCAAGTCACCCAATTGGTTTCGTGTCTAAGGTGGGACTAGAACTTACAGTCTCCTTGTGATTGGCTCCAAGTCACCCAATTGGTTTCGTGTCTAAGGTGGGACTAGAACTTACAGTCTCCTTGTGATTGGCTCCAAGTCACCCAAGTGGTTTCGTGTCTAAGGTGGGACTAGAACTTACAGCCTCCTTGTGATTGGCCCCAAGTCACCCAGTTGGCTTCATGCCTAAGGTGGGACTAGAACTCATAGTCATCCTCTTTTTTTTTGGTGCTTTTTGTTGTTGACGGAAGATTTTTTGATGTTTTCCTCCATCAAAACAACAAGATAGTCGCATAAAATAAATATAGTCGCATAAAATACAAACAAGGAAAATTACATCCATTTTAGCAATTTCACTGAAACTTATCAGCAGTATAAGATCTCTAGAAGCTTGGATAACTGACACAATACTGTAAAATTAAAAGGCTGAAGTATCTCTGTAAAAATGATTGCGGTTCTTCCCTCTATCATAAACTACCCTGCATTCTCCCCTTCATGTCTTCTGTTCTTGCTGCTTCCTCACAGATTCCATCTACAGTCCGATGTCTGAACAATGACAAAATCCTGGCCTTCCAACAGCAAACTCAGTTTTTGTGGGAAACATATTTTTCTTCTGTGGAGAAGATTGTGCAAACCACTCTTGAGGTAAGCTGCAGAAGTATGCCCATCATTTGCCCAAATAATTCATCTGTAATTATTTCTGTTTCAATGATTGGGGGTCACATGTCATGGTGAATTGTGGATTGCTAAATAAATTACATGGATTCATGTAACAAGCCATAAAACATGGCTTGTACAGTGCAGTGAATAGGTTCACACAACACGGTCAACTCTGAAACAAATTGGCTAGCTTCATGCAACATATTCAGCACATAATGGCTTGGCATGATGGCCAAAGGAAGCCACAGGAGGTGGGAACCTTTAGCTTTCAAGTTGGTCTAGGTGTGTCAAGGTGTGACAAGCCTCAAGGTGTGTCCCCGTGACCCATCAACCTCCTTCCAGTAGTTCTTTGTTCTAGGTCAGGGCTGAGCAGTTGGAGGAGAGAGGAGGATGGGGGAAGGTGTGGTTAAACTTCATGTAATTCCCTTCATGGCTTCACTGATCCTTAAGTCACGCTCCACACAGCTGGTCTAAACCACATGGAGATGGCTATTATTGGACCAATCTCCCTGCTGCTCACTACCCTTCCTATCTGTTGCTTGATACACCAGTTAGTGGTGAAGTTTTTCAGATCTATGAGTGCAAAGGGACTTCAACTTGCCTTCCTTGGACCCAGAACTAGAAGAAATTCATAGATGCCAATAAAATGGCATCTTTGAATGGTTTGAAACATTTGCTTCCGGGCTTTCTCACCACCTGGGCTGAGTTGCCGTTTATGAGATAAGCTGCCAAACAGTTGCCTTCTGTCTCTTAAGGTTTTATGCCTGCATTTTCTTTCCTTTCTTCTTCAACCTTCCCACCATCTCTCTTACCTTGGAAAACATCATTTCTTTTTTCCTTCTGGTCAAAAGTTTGAAGAAATGGGGAAGGGAAATCAAAGAGTTTAAGTTTCACCTTCCCCACGAAGTGTCCTAGCAATATCATATCATGCTTAAAAATACGTCTAGCTATATAGATTATAAATATAAGTGATCAAGAACTCTTTTTCCTCTTGACCAAATTGTTTTTAGCCAGGACGAATGTCTATAGCAGATCTGGGCATTTTATGGCCTCTTTGGCTCTCCCTGTCCGGCTCATGTGAAGTCATTCGTAAATTAGAAATCAAATATAAATAATTGTACCCCACGCCTGCAATATAACTGCTTTGCTTTTATTTTGAAGGCAACTCTTAAGTCCTGCACAGAGTTGGTACAAGGTATATTTCAGTCTAGCATGCTTTGCTTAATTTTATAGTAATAGTTAACATTTATGTAACATTTTCAGTTCTGTTTCTGACTGCCTCACTTATAGTTTCCTATTCAGGCACACGATATGCCTGCTGGTAGCTAACCAGTGGAATTACAGAGGAGGCATCAAAAAGACAATAATGGCATGCCAAATTGAATCTGGACTTCCTGATTAGTGTAGCTTTTTCTACTTGGGGCCAAGAAGAACGGTTGAGCTTGATCTCACATCCAAGAGATGCCTTCTTTTCTAGCAGGTGCAGATAGCTCCGGGGTGTAATGACAACTATCTTTCTCTTTGCTAGATAATAAAAGATCGGATATTTCATCAGGAATCACGCCCAAAGTTCTTCTGGAACACACTTCCTGGAGGCTTGGTGGCCTTGCCAGAATACTCCACTCATCTCAACGACTTCCCTTTCTATTATCTGCAGCAAGGTATGGGAGATACCCCTGCACTGTTTCTAACTTCATTTTTTAATCCCTACTCCTTCTCTCTTAAGAGGTTGGGGTTGTTGAGGTGGTGATGGATTTACCCCTAAATGGTGCGGCATGGAATGCTCCTCTTCAAGGATTTACAGACAGTTCTCAATTTACGACCACGGTTGGGACCAGAATTTCTATCGTTAATCAAGGCAGTTGTGAAGGGCGTTGCCCCAGATTTTATGACCTTTTTTTGGGGGGGCCATGATTGTTAACTGAATCAGTTGTTAAAGTGAATCAGGTGGTTATTAAATTAATCCAACTTCCCACATTGACTTTGGTTGTTGGAAGCTGGCTGGGAAGGTTACAAAGGGGGGGGGGGTGCGATGACCCTGGGATGCTGCAACGGTCATAAATACAAACTGGTTGCCAAGCACCTGAATTTTGATCATGTGACTCTGAGGATGCTGTGATAGTCGTAAGTGCAAGGACCAATCGTAGGTCGTTTTTTTCCAATGCTGTTGTAACTTTGAACAGTCACTAAACAAGTGGTTTAAGTTGAGGACTACCTGTAGTCTCTCTTCCAGGATACTCCATCCGGCACCCTGATGTCCACCACCTATTTTCCAGTTTCATCTTTTACAGAGGCTCAATATTATCATTAGTGTGAATGTTTATTTCCTTGCAGGTTGGTCTACCTTAGGAGGAGCTGCGTCTTAGATTTTTCCCCACTAAAAGTATTTTTGTACTTCTGCAAATTTTAAGGATTCCCAAGTAAGCTGATGCCTATCTTCTGTTTTTTTCCTTTTTTTTTTTTTTAAAAAAAAGCATTTATTCACCCTGTAAGGGTTTAACCTTACACAATGTAAAGAATCATAGAGATGACTTTAGGAAAGGTCTGAGAAAGCGGAAGAAACCAGCCATTGAGCAGAGACTTAAGAGAAGAGATTACATAGTCCAGAGGTTGCAGGAAGCATGAGAAAGAAACAGCTCTGCTGTGATTTTGTTTACTTTAAGATGGGACAAAGAGAAACTTGGCTTTCAAAAATTAAAATAAACAACATTCCTGGAGTCCCTGCTGTGCCTGTTTCTTGACCTGATCTCCTTTGAAGGGCTGACAGAGAGCTGCGTAAGTAACGTAACGCAGAGCAGCTCTGTTCCCAAGAAGCTTAACAATCAGGCCTCTGGGAGAAAAATCAAAAGGGAGAAATCCACAGAATAGAATAGAATGGAATGGAATGGAGTAGAGTAGAGTAGAGTAGAGTAGAGGTACAGGTACAGGTACAGGTACAGGTAGAGTAGAAGCAGAGCAGAGCAGAGCAGAACTGGAAGGGACCTTGGAGGTCTTCTAGTCCAGCCCCCTTCTCGAGTAGACTAGTGACTGTCTAATACAGAGCTTTTCAACCTTTTCACCCATTGTACCACTTTTAGGATATGGCAACATCTGAGTACCACCAGTCACCTAGCAAGATGTCAAAAACTTGATGACCCCCCCCCCAAATGAAAAAAGTAATAAAGTGCAGGTAGTCCTACAGTTCACTTAGTGACTCTTAGAAGTTACAATGGCACTGAAAAAAGTGCCCCGCCCAAACCACAGCTGAGCAAAACACCTGCCTGCCCGCCCGGCCGCGCTCTTCCTCCTGTCTGAGGTTTTCATTGTTGTGAACATTTCTGTTGATGATTGGCAGCGGGGATGGGGTGGGGTGGGGTGTTTGGTTTTTATTCCCCCTATCTGCTGGGTGGTTGCAGCAGGTTTTGGTCACTTCACATGACCCTGGGACACTGTGACTGTCATAAATATGAATCAGTTGCCAAGCATCTGAATATAAATCACAAGACCCTGGAGATGCTGCAACATTCCAGCTGATCGGTGCTTCTTCTGGGCTCAGCAGAAGCACCAGGATCAGTGCCGCTTTCCAGGTGATTGGTGCTTCTTCAGGGCTCAGCAGAAGCACCAGGATCAGTGTCAAGCTCCAGATGGAGCCTGGCGCTGATCCTGGCGCTTGCACTGAGCCCTGACAGCCCCGAAGAAGCACCAATCAGCTGGAAAGTGGCACTGATCCTGGCGCTTCCGCTGAGCCCCGACAGCCCTGCAGCTCCAGCTGTCTCTTGCTCAGGCTTGTGTGGTGCTGCCACCAGTTCAGCTCATTCCCCTCCCCCACTACCACTTTTCTAGGATGGTCGCGTACCACCTGGCAGGTACCAATGTACCACAGGTGGTACCCGTACCACTGGTTGAAAAGCCCTGGTCTAGTAGAGAGGATGGAATGAAATGCTGTTCTGCATTCATTTCTGCCAGGGATCCCCAATTCTCTCTTTTATCAGGCTGGGGGTCATGGCTGGGAGTCTCAACAGTGCATCATGAACATTGTCACCAAACAGCTACAAACAGATAGTCCTCGATTTACAACCGTTCATTCAGTGACCGTCCAAAGTTAACAACATCACTGGAAAAAAGTGACACGACTGTTTTTCACACTTATGATCGTTGCAGCGTCCCCACAGTTATGTGGTCAAAATATGGACGCTTGGCAACTGGTTCATATTTATGACGGTTCCAGTGTTCTGGGATCATGTGGTCCCCTTTTGTGATCCTCTGACAAGTCAAGCCAATGGGGAAGCCAGATTCATTAAGCAACTGTGTTACTACCTTAAGAACTGCTGTGATTCACTTAACTTTGGCAAGAAAGGTCATAAGATGAGGCAACTGTCTCGCTTAGCAACAGAAATTTTGGGCTCAGTGGTGGTCCTAAGGCAAAGATACCTGTCCTGTGGCAGTCATAAGCCATCTATTCCCCCAAAAGCAAGCTGGTAAAATTGGTACCTCTGCTTCTTCCAGGTTCAAATGCTTCAGTTTAATGGTCTTTTTTATCAAGGCAGGTGAGGAGCTGCCCAGACAAAATGCTGAGCAAGACCCATACGCTCTTTTTATTTACAAAAAAGCCTCTGAGATTGTGGCATGACAAAGTCCCAAATAGCGCAGTCCTGGAATGTGCTGGAATCTCTAGCATGTATACCAGACATGTCAAACACAAGGCCCGGGGGCCGGATGCGGCCCGTGAAGTGGTTTCATGTGGCCATTGAAGCCATCCTGGAAACAGTGAGGGAACGCCCTCCGCTGCCTTGGCCCTGGCCCAGGCTGGCCGGGAGCCAATGTACAATTTTGTGGTGGCCATCTATGCTGAAAGGCATTCAGTCTTAGCTCCACAAGGCTGTCTAGAAACAGCGAGGAACCAGCCCCTGCCACGTCAGCCCCGCCCTCTGGGTGCATGCTGGGAAGGGGTCACCCTTTGTGAGGAATGAAGAAATGCACCATGCCTTGGCGCTTGCCCCGGTCCCACCCCCTCCTGCCAGAGACCCTCAGATCTGCCCCACTCCTGCCCAGGCCCCCACAGGCACCCTTGATGTGAACGATGTAGAGCTGGCCATGCCCACCCAGTAGGCCACACCTACTCCATCCATGCCCACCCAGTAGGCCGCACCCACCCTAGCCATACCCCCCCCCCCAGGGCAACCGCAATGCTGATGCGGTCTTCAATGAAATTGAGTTTGACATCCCTGATGTATACACTATTGAAACAGTGACGTCTACGCTGGCTTGGGCATGTTATGAGAATGGCTGATGGTCGGATTCCGAAAGATCTCCTGTATGGAGAACTAGTGCAGGGAAAGCCCCCCCAGAGGGAGACCTGAGCTGCGATATAAGGATATCTGCAAGAGGGACCTAAAGGCCTTGGGAATGGACATTGATAGCTGGGAATCCTTGACCTCTGATCATTCAGCCTGGAGGCTAAAGACGCAGCATGGCCTTCTCCAATTCGAAGAGACACTTGTGTGGCAGGCTGAGGCAAAGAGGCAGTCCTGGAACCAGCAAAATCTGGGGGCTGGACAGGGGACAGATTGTATCTGCCCTCAGTGTGGAAGGGACTGCCATTCTCAAAAGGGCCTTTTTAACCACACCAGATGCTGCCTTAGGACCTCTTTCCAGAGCACGATACCATAGTCTCTTGAGACTGAAGGATGACAGTGATGAACCTGATGTTTTAGGAAGGAAAGATAATGCATGATTAAATTAGAGGGGGCTTGCTTTATAATGGTCAAGCTCTTGGATTAGAACTGAGTTCAGCTGCCATCTCAGCCATTGGTGGGGAGATCTTCAGCCTGCCACTTTTATTTTTTAGCTCAGTCTATCTTCAACAACTGTTTGGGGTTAAAGCAGTGGTTCTCAACCTGTGGGTCGGGACCCCATTTGGGGTCGAACGACCATTTCATGGGGGTCGCCAAACAAGGCTGTCCGCCATTTTTTCCCCTTTTCTTTGGCCACGCCCCTGGCACCTGGTGATGTATAAGTGGCTGGGGGTCACCACAACATGGGGAACTGTATTATGGGGTCGCGGCATTAGAAAGGTTGAGAACCACTGGGTTAAAGTGAAGGGAGATCCTTGTGTTAGGCTGCCGTGTACTGCTAGAGCAGGGGTCTCCAAACTTGGCCGCTTTAAGACTTGTGGACTTCAACTCCCAGAATTCCCCAGCCAGCATAGCTGGCTGAGGAATACCAAAAAAATGAAGTCCACAGGTCTTAAGGTTGCCCAGTTTGGAGACCTCTGTGCTAGAGGAGCTGGGGAATGGGGCAGGGGACCTGGCAATTGGTATCCATGGAGCCACCTCGCAGACTCCTGCTGTAAACGGGCATAGCTGAAATTGTCACTGATGTTATCTCTGTTTCATTAATTCCTCCTGCTTTCTTCTGCTGTTTTCACTGGCAATGAAATCTGAAATTGCAAGTTTCCTATGGGTGGAGACGTCTCTCTTCTTCTTTTATCTTCTGAAATGTCATGTACACTGGTAGCACTAAATAAAGCACTAATGATAATTGGTTAGACGGGGATTAAATTTCAGCAGGTAAGCCAAAACAGGTTTGGAGGAGCGTTTGAAGCATCCCAGACTCACCGGTTCTCTCCCTTAACAGGATCCAGCCCCTCCGAGAAGTTTACAGCATTAATCCGGGCCGTCTCACCTATTGTTTCCCTTTCCCAGCCCATCCTCAAACTCATCCAAGCTGTCTCCAGATCCCAATACTGTGCCAAGGTAAAGGGGTTTCTTGCCATTATTGTGGTGATAGTGATTGCAGTGTCCCCCCAATCACATGATCAAAATGTGGATGCTTTGCAACGGGCATGTATTCACAATGATTGCAGTGTCCTGGGATCACATGATCCCCATTTGCAAGTTTCCCGGTTGGCTTCTGAGGAAGCAAAACCACTGAATGTTTTCCATGACATCTCTGCTCGCTCTATAATGCCAACAAAATTCCAGCACAGGCTGGGGAAAAAAAAACAGTCAACCTAGGCCAGATGGAGCCTGGTGCTGATCCTGGCGCTTCCACTGAGCCCTGACAGCCCCGAAGAAACGCCAATCAGCTGGAAAGCGGCACTGATCCTGGCGCTTCCACTGAGCCCCGACAGCCCTGCAGCTCCAGCCATCTCTTGCTCAGGCTTGTGTGGTGCTGCCACAAGTTCAGCTCATTCCCCTCCCCCACTACCACTTTTCTAGAATGGTCACGTACCACCTGCCAGGTGCCAATGTACCACAGGTGGTGCCCGTACCACTGGTTGAAAAGCCCTGGTCTAGTAGAGAAGATGGAATGAAATGCTGTTCTGCATCCATTTCTGCCAGGGATCCCCAATTCTCTCTTTTATCAGGCTGGGGGTCATGGCTGGGAGTCTCAACAGTGCATCATGAGCATTGTCACCATGAGCATTGTCACCAAACAGCTACAAACAGAGGAAGTCAAGTTTGCTTAATGAGTGCATGATTCCCTTAACGAGTGCTGTGACGTGCTTAACAACCATTGCAGGAAAGGATGTAAAATTGGACAGAACTTACTTAACAACTGCCTTGCATAGTGATGGAAGTTCCCATCCCAGTTGTGGTTGTAAGTCAAGGACTACCTATATACGAACATACTAGTTTTATGTTGAGGAACATGAAAAATGATCTGTCTCCATCTAAGATGTGCAGCCCTGCAATCTAGTCCAGTCCAGGTAGTCCTCGACTTACGACCAGAATTGAGTCCAAAATTTCTGTTGCTAAGTGAGGTATTTGTTAAGTGAGTTTTGCCCTTTATTACGACCTTTCTTGCCACCGTTGTTAAGAGAAGCACTGCAATTGGTAAGCTAGTAACCCGGTTGTTAAGTGAATCTTAACATTGACTTTGCTTGTCAGAAGGCTGCAAAAGGTAAACGACATGACGGTCATAACTATGAACCATTTGCCAAGCACCTGAATTTTGATCACGTGACCCTGGGCATGCTGCAACGGTCGTTAAGTGTGGAAAACAGTCATAAGTCACTTTTTTCAGTGCTGCTGTAACTTTGAATGGTCACTAAATGAACTGTTGTAAATCAAGGACTACCTGTGCCTCGAATTTCTATTGCCTGCTTCCCACCACTCTCCTGTTTAATAGCAGCTCTCATCTCCTTGCTAGCCTCTTGATCCAGATTTCTGAGGCTCCATGTTGTCATTCCCACCTCTTGTTATGAAGATGGCTAGAAGGTGTGATCTTCCAGAGTTGCGCTGTACAAAATCGCGCCAAGCTCTGGTGCCTTTTCCATTCCCTTGTATGGCAAAGGGTTGTGGTAGGTGTGGCAGCTTTAGGATACACCTGGGTGGGCTAGTAACCTTTATTGCTGTCAGCAAGTCTCACCTTCCCCTCTAACTACAGGGCAAGTCCTGTCAACAGCCACGTCTCTACTGCAGATGAGCTCAGCTAACCAGGCCGCGCCCATCCTGAGCATTTCAAAATGTATGGCAGTAAATATAGCCTTCTAAGTATGTGAACTCTGGAGTCTGAGCACACTGTTCTTGTAGCTTGTCTGCTTTAGAAGGAAAGATTCAGTCAACTTCAGTAAAAATACTAAGCAAACATGCATTGGTGTGTAATCTAGTATATTATAGAGGAACCCATTGGGTCTAGTGGTTAAAGGTGCTGGATAGAAGCTAGAAGACCATAACTACTAGTACTGAGGCCAATCTCTCTCAACCTTGAGAAGAAGGCAGTAGCAATCTGTTTCTAAAAATGTTGCCCAGAAAACTGCAGAGTCCACCTACTTACTAGGAGTCCAAAGTAATTCAGAGGCAGAAGAAAGAAAGGGGGAAAAAAAGAAAAGAAAAACCAACAATAAAAGCTTTGTTTTCCTTTTGGAGAGATTGAGTGGCAATTGTTTGGTCCTGCCCCACAATACAAATTACTGCCAAATCCTGCATTTTTAAAACCAATTCTCACTCAATTGGAGGAACTCGGGATCGTGTCTGCAAAATTCTCTTGGGTAGAGTGTGATGGTCTTGCATTTGTTTAGATCTGAGGCACTCAAGGGGAACATGTGAATGTCCTGCCTTTCCTAGTAGAGTCATGTCTCCAAAAGTTATCTGCTTCCTGGTTTCTCATGGTGTCATTGAATCCCAGCAGGACAGTTTGGGAGTGACTCTTATTCTAAGGCGTTGGGAGGTTGGGAATTGCAAACGGGCAGGGAGGCTTCGGAATGATAGAAAAATGCCTAATGGAAAAGCACACAGCAAAAAGGGTACAGGTAGTCCTTGGGTTATGTTAATGATCTGAACACGCTGAAATCATGGTGTCCTCACGCTGACTTTTTCTTTAATATCTGACTAACGCAGCGAGGAAAAGCCTTCTTAATGAACCATGCCACTTTATTAAAAAGGTTACGATGGTACTAAATTAAGGGGATTTATGACCAATCCTTGGAGTTCCAGCCATTGCAGCATCCCCACAGTCCCACAATTGCAATTTGGGACAATCCCTACTAGCTTCCCATAAGCAAAGTCATGGGGAAGACGGCAGGAAGTCGAAAGTTGGAAGTCACTGTTACGCAAGATCCTTGCTTAAACAAATGACAACTGGAATTGCCAGACCTGTCATTGCTCAATGGCACCGTCATGTGACATTGTGCTTTACAACCGCATCACTTAGCAGCAGAAATTCCGATCCCAGTTGCCATCCTAAGCCAACTATTTTTATCTTTCAACATTCCACCACGGCGCCAAAAGAAAAACTTGGAAGGGTATTCTCAAGCAACTGAGAATAAGGCAGAAAAGCAGAAACCTCTTTCCAATGAAAGAAAGCAACAGAGAAATTGCAAGTCCCATTTTAGTGCAGCACCAGTATGAATGGCTTTTGTCTGTCAGTTGCACGGCCTGGTTTTATGGGGACAAAAATGGGACAACACAGCCCATCGAGCTTCATAGTTGGGCATTCCATGTTCACAGTGCTGCTGCTAAAAGGACTTTCCTTTCACCTCACACCTAGAAAAACAATTTCCGAGAAAGATCTCAAATATATCAAGTGGGAAAATTTCATTAAGAAAGATCAACGTTTCTGCCGCTTTCCTTATAACGAGCAACTGAAATGCTTTTACTAGAGCAACTTTTTAGCTGCTCCTTCGTTGTATAATTTAGATTTGCTGCAGGAAACCATTAACATTTTGGGGTCAACCGTTCCTATGAACCTAAAATGCTGGCTTGAGACTAGACTTCTGGAGCCAAAACGTGGCGGCGTTTGCACAGTGGAATACTTGCTTCCAAACCCCAGTTGCTGTTTGAAAGCAGGGATTCGGGCAGCTGGCCAAGCAGGGTAAGGGAAATTGTACAAGCTGAAATTCCTGAGGCAGTCTGGTGATGAGACAAAGCCAGAGGACCACCCCAAAGAGGGTGGCTTTGAGACATCAGTGCAGGAGGTACTGTTTGTACTGCAGCGCAATACAAACAAGGTAGATTTAGCACAACAAGAGTCTGCGGCGTGTTTTCTTATATAAGACTCATAGAAATAAGCAGAGCTTTTGGGCTTTGACAGAGCTGCTGCCCATTTCAATGAGGTTCTGTGCCAGTAGGTTTTGTTCCTTCCCATTCATGGGAGGAGACATGCCATTGTAGGTGTTTGCATCAGAAACCAAAATACGGTATGTTCCTAAGATAGCCTTGTGAAACTGTCTTCTGCCTAACTCTTTACTTAGTCCCTCTCCAACCCCAGAGATGATCCCCAGAGATGGATTTCAGCTTCCACAATCCCCAAGCAGGCTGGCAATTGGCCGGGTTTGGCTAAGAAGAGTGGGTCTTGCAATCCTGATGAGAGAGGGTGATTATAAAGCCTAGCCCAGGGATAGGCAACCTTGGCTCTTTTATGACTGGTGGACTTCAACTCCCAGAATTCCTGAGCCAGCCATGCTGAGGGGAAAGGGAGAGGTTTCCAAGCTGAGCCATGCTGGCTCAGGAATTCTGGGAATTGAAGTTTCACGAGTCACAGAAGAGCCAAGGTTGCCTATCCCTGGCCTAGACCTAGGCCGCTTTATGACTCATGGACTTCAACTCCCAGAATTCCTGAGCCAGCCATGCTGAGGGGAAAGGGAGAGGTTTCCAAGCTGAGCCAGGCTGGCTCAGGAATTCTGGGAGTTGAAGTCCACAAGTCATAAAAGAGCCAAGGTTACCTACCCCTGGCCTAGGTTGACTGTTTTATTTCCCCAGCCTGTGTTGGAATTTTGTTGGCATTATGGAGCGAGCAGAGATGTCATGGAAAACATTCAGTGGTTTTGCTTGTTTTCTGGAGTTTTGTTGGTGGGTTATAGCAGTGGGTGTCTTAAGATGGATGTCTTAAGATGGATCTTAAGATGGATGTCTTAAGGCCCTCATATCACTCCTGAAGCCCCAGTCTGATTTTTAGGGGAATCAGGGGTTTGGGAAGAATAACATTTCTGGAGAAATTGAAATATCTCTTCACCCCTCCAACTAAACCCACTTCAGGCCTTTTGGAACACCTTAAAAACCTGGCTTTCCCTTCTGAATTTAGAGCCAGGATGTTAGCAAGACTTGATTTGTTTATAGTATGCTGTGTTCTGCAATGAATTGAGCAATTGGTTATTTTTTATCTAGCATCTTTTAATCTTTTAATTCTTTTAAATATGTATGTTTTTGTTTGTAAGCCTTGTTGGTTGCCAAGAGTTAATTGATTAAATTGGGCGGCCAAATAAAGTTGCAGAAGGAACAAACAAACAAACAAGTACAGCACGGGCCACAAAATGAAAAAAAAAAAGATTGTTCTGTTGCACATTTCAGCTAGCTAACCAGGCATTTCTGTCTCTTGTACAGATTTTAGTCTTATGGAGCTGTGAGAAGCCATCTCCACAGAAGTGGCCGCCGACCACAGTTCCCTTGACCGTCATTTTAAGCAGCAACAAGGTAAGAAGCTCTCCAGATTGTGGTTGTGGTTGTCATATTTTAGCAAGGGGAGACCTGGGCAAAATCTGCTGAGGCCCACACTCCAGCAGGCATCCTGCTTTCTAAACACCCCGGTTCACCTATCATTTAAAGCCAGTTCTCCTTATCCTTCAATGTGCATTTTCCAAGCATTCAAGCAAAGACCAATGTATGGGCAAGAGTAAATATTCCACTTGATCTTTCTTACTCTCCGATTTTCAAAAGAAATGTCCTGGTGGGCAAGTATTCAAGAGGAAATAGTTACCAACAGCAGAAACAAAACAGAAAAGTAACCTGAGTAACATCTCAGATAAGTCCACCCCAGTTCTCATGAAGATAAGGTGGAGAGAGGGAGAAAGTGCATTCAGATTTATCTGAACATTATCTCTCCCTCTCTCTCTCTCTCTCTCTCTCTCTATCTATCTATCTATCTGTCTCCCACTTCTAATAGTTTTACAAATAATTCAAGGTGGTGAACATATTGAGCACACCTTCCTCCTCCCTATTTTCCCCACAACAGCCAACCTGTGAGGTGGGTTGGGCTGAGAACCATTGATCCAAAGTCAACCAATCAGCTTTCATAGATAAGGTGGGACTAGAACCCACAGCCTCTTGGTTCCTGGCCTGGTGCCTTAACCACTAGACCAAACTGGCTCTCCCATATCTTTACAATAAACGTAGCGTTGATCTACATGACTTTGATTTCCTGTCTGGTTCTTCCTTGAAGGGGTGACAGAAGATGCTTTTCTGTTTCTTCTCTCTTCTCCTGCAGGTCAGCGAACGGTTTTTGCCTTATTCTGCCATCGGAACGGATGCTGTGTTGAGCCTTGATGAATATACCAGTCTTTCAACCAGTGAGGTAAGAAAGTTTCCAGAATCTAGTATGTCTAGTTTAACGAAGAGAAGGACGAGGGCAGACAGGATAGCAGTGTTCCAATATCTCAGGGGCTGCCCCAAAGAAGAGGCAGTCAAGCTCTTCTCCAAAGCACGTGAAGGCAGGAGAGGAAGCAATGGATGGAAACTCATCAAGGAGAGAAGCAACCTAGAACTAAAGAGAAACATCCTGACAGTTAGAACAATTAACCAGTGGAACAACCTGCCTCCAGAAGTGGTGAACTTCCAACACTAGAAGTTTTTAAGAAGAGACTGGACAGCCATTTGTCTGAAATGGTATAGGGCAGTGGTGGCGAACCTATGGCTTGGGTGCCAGAGGCGGCACTCAGAGCCCTCTCTGTGGGCACGCGCACCGTTGCCCCAGTCCTAGGCCTTCAGCTGGGTTTTATAAAACATTTTCACTTTAGGCCTCCGCCGCTGTGTGCAAAAAAAAAAAAGGTTCAATCAATCAATTTCAACTTCTTGCGGGAAAAAAAAGATCTTGCAAAGTTGGAATTGATTGATTGAACTTTTTAGTCCCACCCAGTCTGCCGTTACCACCGCAGCCACGCCCACCCAATGGGCCACACCCACCCAATGGGCCACACCCACCTGGCACTTGACGATGCATAAGTGGGTTTTGGTTTGCAGTTTGGGCACTCAGTCTCTAAAAGGTTCGCCATCACTGGTATAGGGTTTTCTGCCTGAGGACTAGATGATCTCCAAGATCCCTTCCAACATTATTATTATTGTTGATCATCTCACAGTCAGCCAGATGTTCAGACTGGATTTGGCATTTTGTCTACCTATCGAGTCCTTACCCAGGACCTGGGATAGGCAGATGTGGATGTTTGATGGTATTACAGATATCGTTGCAGGATGGAAGCAGTTCCTAGTAAGGCCAACTTTTGCAATTGACTAATAGCGAATTTGTTTTTTTTAATTATTATTATCATCATCATCATTATCATTATTATCATTATTATTATCTTTCTACTCATGCTGTAGCTATGGAGCTTGCATAAGGGACAAATGACTACTTAAACATAGGCCTAGAACCTGGGACAGTTGAGTAGTCCCTATAAAGGAGAATATTTGTAGCTCAAGGTTGAAATGAGGGGTCCTTGGTACTCTCTGATCTTGGTTATTTTCTTGCAGATGTTTCATTACCCAAATTAGGTAACATCATCAATGCTAGTATTTATAACTAGTTTGGGTAATAAAGCGTCTGCAAGAAAATAACCAAGATCAGAGAGGTAGTCCATCCACTGCAGCTATCTTGGCCAAGAGGGGGCTAGGGATGTCCCCCAAATTGTATATATCTTACCTATTGGACAAAGCAAACCTATATGTATATGCAATGTTTTACAATCAAATGATTGAAATTTAAATTGTTTGACTTAGAAAAATGGGGGGAAAGGAAATACGTATATACACTAAAATATGGAATTGTCTTGTCTAATGAGTTATCCGACTCGGATTCCCCATTGTAAAATGCTTGCTTAGATGTGGAAAGGGAAAGATAAGTAATCTTTGCATGGCCTGCTTACAAAAAGTTCTAGCTTTAATTTGGGACATCTCCAGAATTGGTTAATAGAGAGTGTGGCTGATCCTGGAGAATTGCAGCTGGTTAGAGTAGGCCAGTCTTTGCCAACCTGATGCCTTTCATTACTACTTTTGGAATGACCCATCAGCATGGCAAGAGGTGGGAATTCTAGGAATTTCTAGAAGATGTTTAAGTGGATACACATTATGCCTACTATGGATGCCACACGCTAACAGGTAAAGCAGGGGTGTCCAGTCTTGGCAACTTTACGAACCTGTGGACTTCAACTCCCAGAATTCTCCACCAAGCCATGCTGGTTGAGGAACTCTGGGAGTTGAAGTCCACCGGTCTTAAAGTTGCCAAGGTTGGACACCCCTGCTCTAGAGATTATGCCACTTGGAAAAAAGAAAGAATATAATTTGAAAGTAGAAGACGCGACTTCCCCTAGACCGGTGATGGCGAACCTTTTAGAGACTGAGTGCCCAAACTGCAACCCACTTATGCATCGTCGAGTGCCGGGTGGGTGTGGCCCATTGGCTGGGTGTGGCCCATTGGGTGGGCATGGCTGCAGTGGTAATGGCAGACTGGGTGGGATTAAAAAGTTCAATCAATCAATTCCAACTTTGCAAGAATTTTTTTTTCCCGCGAGAAGTTGAAATTAACTGATTAAACCTTTTTTTTTTGCACATGGCGGTGGAGGACTAAAGTGAAAAGGTTTTATAAAACCCAGCTGAAGGCCTAGGACTGGGGCAATGGCACACGTGCCCACAGAGAGGGCTCTGAGTGCCACCTCTGGCACCCGTGCCATAGGTTCACCAACACTGCCCTAGACAACCTGAAGACTTCTGATGAAAGATTCTTTTTTCTCAAATTGTTTTCCTGCTCTCTTCCTTATCTTTTAGGTTGACTTTGCCTTTGTCGTATGGAGAAATTTCCCCAACCAGATTGTAGGCTTCCCAATGCGCAGCCATTTTTGGGATGCCAGCAAGACCCAGTGGAGCTACACTTCAAAATGGACCAATGAGTTCTCTATGGTTCTCACTGCAGCAGCATTCTATCACAGGTAACCTGACTGAAGAGTACCCTTGAGTTGGAAAAAAACCCATTGAGGAGATCAAATTCAGGTCCTACTCAATGCTGGAATCTCAACTGATATGACTGTCAGCTTCTGCTTGAACTCTTCCTAGGAAGGGAAGCTGTCCCCTTAGCCATTTGTTTACATCAGGGGTAGGCAACCTTGGCTCTTTTATGACTCGTGGACTTCAACTCCCAGAATTCCTGAGCCAGCTGTGCTGGCTCAGGAATTCTGGGAGTTGAAGTCCACGAGTCATAAAAAAGCCAAGGTTGACTACCCCTGGTTTACATTGTTGTTGTTTGTGAGAAGCTCTCCCTAACCTTCCACTGGAACCTGCTTTCATACTTTTTAAGCCTGTTCTTCCATCAGTTGCGTTCTGAACACCTCTGGGTGAACGTCAAGCATCTTTCAGATAATGTTTGAAGAATAAACAGGGAGGTTGATATCTTTAGAATTAATCCAGTGGTAACTGTAACCTTGGATCATTGAATAGATTCTGTGTGGATTGGTCTTGAAACTATGGGTCTCTTTCTCACATACACCTTAACCTTCATCTAAAACAGTGGTTCTCAATCTTTTTATACCGGCGACCCCGGTCATAAGGAGGCGGCGCACCTGCGCGGTGGCGCCCCCTGCACGGCACGCATGCGCGGCGGCGCCCCCTGCGCAGCACGTGTGTGCGGCGGTGCCCCCTGCGCGGCATGCATGCGTGGCGGCGGCCCCATGCGCTGCCCAAGCGCGCCGCGCATGCGCGGCGGCAGCCCCATGCGCCGCCCCCTGCGCCAGCTGAGGAAAAAAATGGTGGACTGCGTTGTTTGGCGACCCCTGTGAAATGGTCATGACCCACAGGTTGAGAACCGCTGATCTAAAAATGAATATCCTTCGATTATATGGCATCAATTCATTTTTGATTCCTAGCAATCACATAGATTTTCTCTATGACGATATAGTTCTAACCTGTTCTTACACTCTTCAGTTATCTTTAAATATACTACTCTTGAAGTAGTCTTTTCACCTGATTCGTCCCCACTTTCCTCCTTCCTCGCAACATATTGGTGAATATTCCCTTTGGGTTATGACTACATAAGCATTGGTATTTTTAAAACTGAGCTCTTTGTAGATTACAAGCATGTGTGTAAATATTTTTAGCAAAAGTTGTATAAATTAAATCTGCAATTTAGCTCTTTCTGCAGGGGCTAGGTGGAGAAATAAAGGGATGTGGTGGCACCTTAGTTTGTAGAAACAGGTGGGAAAAACAGTGCTAGAAGAGTTTGCTATATTTTTATATAAGAATAACTTGCCTGTGAATGTTGATGGGGGTGTTCCTGGTGTTTCCTTGATTAGGCTGTTGTTTACTGATGACTTCTAGATCTGTCTTTTCTAACCAGCCATTTTATTAATATTTGATGGGAATTCTGGGAGTTGCAGTCTTGACACAATTAGGCATCTGTTTTTTTGAAGGACACTGGAGTGGGTCAGGAAGAAGATGCCACCACAAGATTAGTCTATTTATGTACTAAGAAATATGGTTCAACTAAATTCTCCAGTCCAGCAAAGAAGCATATAATATGATAATTAGAACATGGTCAGAAAACAGTTGGAAAAACATTGTTCCAGCAACTACTCTTCAGAAATGTTGGGTTTTTAGGCTCTGTTCTCAGGGCCCTACTTGAGCCTCAGTGGCAAGCAATCCTGTTGTTGTTATCCCATCTTTATTTGTAGGTAATGTATACTATCCTAGAGTGGAAGGAGCTACTGAATTCAACCACCTGAACTCTACTATTTAATGGCTCTTATCTAATATTCAACCAGAACATTCTAAATTATGTATTCCAAGATGATTTTAAAAAACAGATTGGAGGGAGCAGGTTGAGGATGGGAGCCTTATACGTTTCTGCAGGGATCTTCTTTCTGCCCACCCCTGTGTTTTCCTTCCACAGGTTCTATCACAGCCTCTTCAGCAACTATTTGCCTGCCAAACTAAGGAGTTTTGTTGATCAGATTGCCAACTGTGAGGACATATTGATGAACTTTCTGGTTTCTGCTGTAACCAAATTGCCCTCCATCAAAGTGACCCAGAAGAAGCATCTCAGGGAGAGCCCACCTCAGCAGGTAGGTAGGCATGGATGGGAACAAATGGGGGGGGGGGGGCAGAGGAGAAAAGGAATTATTCCTGTCTTGAATATTTTATTTCCAGCACTTCTTGATGCCCTTTAAGTATTACTTGGTGCCCTTCGGATAAGTGAGGATTTCACTCCCATAATGGCAGCATTGGCTACTGACGGTGGGAATTGACACACCGATTTAAGGAGAAAGCACATTTGTGCTACTCTTTGGAATCCATACTTAGCAGAGAGGTCCACGTGGCTCTTTTGAACCTGAGTTAGTTTTTCAGTGGGCGGAACGTGTGAACCGTGAGCACTTTTTTGATAGGGGTATATGCCTGAAGCTCTTAGGGTATCTGGCTGATACACAGAAAGGTGAAAAGCTCCATATTTAGAGGGAGTTCACTTCTCAATTCCAGTTGTTGAGGAGCAACAGAAGAAGGCAGCTGTTATCTTTGTCATCCTCATGCAGAATTTGAATTAAAAAAAGTTGTATCAGGTTTGGTACAAGGAAACATTCACTCTGGAAAGCGAAAGAGGGCAATTGTATTCAGTACCAGTTCAGAATTTCACTAACAACGTGCCTGAAATTGAAATGAAAGCCATTTTGTGTAATGGTAAAGGTGCTAGCTAAAAAACAGGAGATCGTGAGTTCTAGTCCAGCATTAGGCATGAAAGCCAGTTGGGTGACTTTGGGCCAGGGGTCTTCAAACCTGGCCCTTTTATGACTTGTGGACTTCAACTCCCAGAATTCCTCAGCCAGGCAGGCTGGCTGAGGAATTCTGGGAGTTGAAGTCCACAAGTCATTGGCTTTGGGCCAATCTCCAGGAGACCATGAGTTCTAGTCCTGCCTTAGGCACCCTCTCTCAGCCCAACCCACCTCACCGGGTTGTGTGGAAAGAGGGAAGAAGCAGGGGTATGATGTAGAATGATACATTGTATAAAGTAATAAAAGGTGGGATAAAAATCTAGTCTAATGATGATGCTTGGTCTCTTCCCTCGTCTTCCCTCGGTTCCTGAAGCTCCTGAAAAGTGCACCCGCCTCCAACAGCAGCCTACATTTTGCACAACGGCAGGAGTGCATCAATCACTTTGCCGCCTGGTTTGGCTACATGCCTCTGGTGCATTCTCAGTTCCGCTTGGACCCAGTGCTGTTCAAGGATCAGGTATCTGTGCTACGGAAAAAGTACCGGCAACTGGAGAGGGACTAGGTCAGGAGAGAAGCCCACTGCCGCTCTCTGGGAAGGCGCGTGGAGAAGAAGACCCCAGCCATGCTGGACTCACTGCTTACTCCAGGCCGTTGGTGCTATGGCTGGATTTTGGCTTGGGTTCACTGCATTGATGCCCTTTGAACTCTGGATACTGAAAAGTGGAAACTCTCGCTGGCAGCCAGGGTGGTGCCAGAGGAATCTTCCAGTTGTTCCGGAATGTTCCAGTCTTTATTGGGTTTTACCAGTATCAATAAAGTTTTGCAGAAAACAACTCTTTCTTGATTGCCTTCTGAGGGCCGTCTCTTTTCAGACAGAAATGTCGGCTTCGGTATTTTGATACAGATGGGGAGCATTGATTCAAAATCTGTGGGGCCTAATCTATAATGGCTCGTCCTGGTCATTAGCTAGAATTGCAGGTGGCAAAATCAGACAAAGGACGTATGTTCAAGTTGCTTGCTATTTCCCTGCTTCTTAGGAGAGGTGTTTTTTTTTTTTTTTTTTGCAACAATAAAACAGGATGTCTTTGGGGAAGATGATAACGATCTGAACAGGCTGAAATCATGGTGTCCTCACACTGACTTTTTCTTCAGTATCTGACTAATGCAGGGTGGAAATTCCTCCTTAACGAACCATGCCACTCCCAGAATTCCCCAGCCAAATTACGGTGCGTCCAAATTTTGATCACATGATTTTGGGAATGCTGCAATTGGTCCTTAAGCGTGAGAAATGATCACAAGTCACTTTTTTTCCAGTGCAGTTGTTAACTTCAAATGGTCAATAAATGAATGGTTGTTAAGTCAAGGACTACCTGCACTTTCAATGCAAGGAAAGGACAAGGGTGATAGTTTGGGAAATGCTGTTCAATGAAACGCAAAGGCACAATGGGCAATGGGCGGTTCCTGGCTCAATGGTGTGCAACTATGAGAGAAATCTAAATGTCCTAGTGCAGGGGTCTCCAAAATTGGCAACTTTACGACTTGTGGACTTCAACTCCCAGAATTCCTCAGCCAGCCATGCTGGCTGAGGAATTCTGGGAGTTCAAGTCCACAAGTCGTAAGGTTGTCAAGGTTGGAGACCCATCCTAGTGCAGGGCTTTTCAACCGGTGGTACGCGTACCACCGATGGTATTTAGTATCTGGCAGGTGGTACGCGACCCCTAGCCAGGTGTAGCAGGGGAGGGAACACAGACCTGCAGGAGATCAGCTGGAGCTGCAGAGCTTGGCAGAAGCCCCAGGATCGGCGCACGTGGCGACATGGTAATTGGAGTTTCCAATGCACCCGGAAGAAAAAAAGGAGGAAGAGGGCGGAGAGAAGAGAAGGTATAAAAGGGGACAGTTTTTGGCAGGAGAGCGAGAAGAGAAGAGGCTTAGCAAAGCAGTGAGGAGAGACGGAACAAACCGTGTGTTTTCGGACTGAGGGTGAGTGAGCAAGCCGTGCTTGGAGCAAGGCTGAGCAGGGATAGGAAAAAATTTTTTTGTTTGGTGGACAGACATTGGATGTGGCTTTTGGTGGCCTTTTGTGGGGGGAAGAGTGGAGGCCTTTGAAATGGGGAAAATAGGCTGCTAATCTCCTGGGAATGCAAACAAAGGTGCTGGGAGTCATCTCTAACTATGGACTGGTCATTTTTATTTTGAAAAATGGATGTGTAGAAATGCTAAAAAGATATCCGGATTCTTCAGAAGGAGCCTGTTGCCTTTCCTGTTTTATTAACTATGGCTCAGAGTTTGCTCATTGGTCCAGAATTTTTTATTTCAATAAAACAGTATGTTTTATTCTTTTTTTAATGTTGCCTTAAGACAGTGGTTCTCAACCCTTTTAATGCCGCAACCTCCCAACCGGTCGTAAATCGAGGACTACTCAACCGGTCGTAAGTCGAGGACTACTCAACTGGTGCAGCACTGTTGCAGAATGGGACTTTTGGCGGGCTCAGCAGGGCAGAGACATCCTGGACAATTCCTATTGGCTTTTGAAAGCCAATAGAATTAGACTCTATTCAAGAGAGTCTATTCTATTGGCTTTCAAAAGCCAATAGAATAAAAGGGAGTAGCACAGCTAAGGAAAAGAGGGAAAAAATGGCGGACTGCATTGTTTGGCGACCCCTGTGAAATGGTCGTTCGACCCCAAATGGGGTCCCGACCCATAGGTTGAGAACCACTGCCTTAAGATGAACTGGGAATCACTGCCCATTCATATTTGCTGGGGTATATTTTCCCTCAACCTACCCAGTATGGTCCTTCTACCTGTGGCTGCGGTGTTGGGAGTTCAGCAACAAGAAATCACATTAATTTGAGAGGGTTGCAGACGGCCTGTCGGTGAGAATTGATCCTCTGTAGCAGTGTTTCCCAAACTTGACAATTTTAAGGCATGTGGACTTCAACTCCCAGAATTCCACAGCCAGTGTTGCTGGCTGTGGAATTCTGGGAGTTGAAGTCCTCATGCTTTAAAATTGTCAAGTTTGGGAAACACTGCTCTGTAGGAACTTCTTCTCTCTGACAAAAGCAGGGAGGGGTATATGGAACCCTGAATGATCTCTGTGTAAATCAGATGGTTTTGAAGAAGGATATCCATTGCTTTCTGAAAAGTACTTGGAAAAGTGCTCTCAACTTGAATAAAATGTGTGAAATTCTTCAGTGCAGTTTTGTGGGTGGGAGCAGATGCTCCTATGTGGCTAGGCAGCCACATCAGTAAAAGGTCTGAAGCAGCAGTGCTTTAACTGAAAAATGAGCAGCTCCCTGAACACCTTGTGTGTGGAAGTTGGTTGCACAACAGCTAAATTATTACACATGTGAATATTTCTGTGATAAGGTAATCATTACTACTTTTTTTTGTCATTAAGTTTTTTACACCTTGCTAAGCCACTGTTGATACTCAAATATTGTCATGTCCTAAAGGTGGTACAGTCTATGAAAAGGTTGAAAAGCCCTGTCCTAGTGGACCACCACTTAACTATGAGCCAGTGGTGTGTTGCAGCTGCCCAAAAAGCAAATGCAGCCCTGGGCTACATCAACAGAGGGAGAGCATCAAGATCATGAGAAGTGATAATACAGCTTTATGCCCCACTAGTGAGGCCACACTTGGAATATCGCATCCAGTTCTACTCACCACAATGCAGAAAAGATGCTGAGAAACTGGAAAGTATGCAGAGAAGAGCAACAAAGATGATAAAGGGTCTGGAAGCTAAATCATATGACGAACAGTTGAGGGAAGGTGTATCTAGCCTACTGAAGAGAGTGATAACTGTCTTCCAGTACTTGGGCTGTCACAGGAGAGGGGATTGACTTATTCTCCAAAGCACCAGAGGGCAGGACAAGAAGTAACGGGTGAAAGCTTGTTAAAGGGAGATCCAACCTAGAAGGAAGAATTTTTCTGACAGAACAATTAGTCAGTGGAACAGCTTGCATCCCGGAGTTGTGGGTGCTCCATCGCTGGAGATTTTCAAAAGTAGACTGGACAACCATTTGGGATGGCATAAGGTCTCCTGCCTTGAGCAGGGGGTTGGACTAGAAGACCTCCAAGGTCCCTTCTAGCCCTATAATTATATGTTATTAATAGGTGAGAGTACTTAAGCCACTTGCCAATTTTTCCTTGCTGGATTTCTTTTAAAAGCAAAGTGTTTTTTCTGTCAATGAGCAAGGCAGGGAGGTTCATGATAAAAGACATCTTTTCCTCCACTTCGTAAACTCTTCGGGCCTTTGGGGCAGAAAGGTTGATTCCTTGAAAAGTTTGGAAAGATTGGGGTCCATTAGCAAAAGGGAACATACCAATTGCAATATGTTTTAGCCAATGTGTCGAAATGCATTGCTGTACTGTATACTAGCCTGGCCCTCAGCTATGGTAGCTGAACCAATTAAGTTCTGGGTCAGCTATGGTGCAAGAAACAAAAATGCTGTGTGTGCAGTTTTGCAGCAGAAACACAAAGCTTAAAGAGGGCACTTTCTCACTGGAAGAACTCTTGTTCCACTTTCTCAGCTGTGCCCCCAAATGCCCTTCCTCTTCCACAGCTTGAAATGCTCTAATGTAGGCAACCTTGGGTCTTTTATGACTCGTGGACTTCAACTCCCAGAATTCCTGAGCCAGCCTGGCTCAGCTTGGAAACCTTTCCCTTTCCCCTCAGCATGGCTGGCTCAGGAATTCTGGGAGTTGAAGTCCACGAGTCATAAAAGAGCCAAGGTTGCCTACCCCTGCTCTAATGCCATGCTATTTTTACAATATGTTCTCCAATGGAGCAGAGGGGTAGCATTACTATCCTTCTTTGCAGTGATACTGTTTAAAAAAGCTGGTTGGCTAGCCATCACTTTTTGGGATTCCTATGTTGCTCAGTGGAAATGCTCTCCAGGACTCTTCAGTTGGTTCTCTGCCTGATGAGGATTAGGCAGATTTTCAGAAATGATTCTGAAGGACTGAGAATTTGTAGCTCAGCGTTGAACTATGGAGTCCTTGGTGCTCTCTGAGCTTGGTGGTTTTCTTGCAGCCTTTTCATTACCCAACTAGGTAACATCATCAGTGCACTGAAGATATTTACCTAGTTGGGTAAAACAACATCTGCAAGAAAACAGCCAAGTTCAGAGAGCACCAAGGACTCCGTGGTTTGAGGAATGAAAACGGGCTGCATGGAAGTGCCAGGAGTTACTGATTTGGTCCAGGTTTTCCCAACATGGAGGGAAAAAAAATAGAGCAGGAAAAGGAGGATAAAGAATACATGGCTACAACATCTGCTGAAAGATTAGTGAGGCTAATGTTTGTATTTTTGCTTTGGGGAAGGATTTGGTTATTATTCTCTTGGCAAAAATATATGGGAATGAAGCCAAAGGGAGAGATAATTCGTTGACTTCCTTTCCTGATGAGGCTGACACGGTGCTCTAACTAAAATGTTTTCCATGGCTGATTAACAGAAGTCAATAATGCCACAATTAGGTGTCAAGTCAGGGAAGACCTAGGAACTGATAAAGAGAATATCAGTCTATATTAAAAATAAATGTATTCAAACCACCCTTCCCCTCTGGAAAGTACCAGGTTGGGTGGGGAGAGTCCACATCTAGTAGTTTTCATAGCATATCTACCACCAACTTTTTCCAGCATAGTATCTTCCAGGGTTTTGACCACCGTTCCTGAATTCCCAGAAGCCCTGAGAAAGCCTATACAAATGGAACTTGAAAGAAAACCATTGTTTTATCCCTGGTCTCTAGCAATCCAATATTTAGCTCCAAAAAGCTGGTATATAACTAATGAGACCTGGTAACCAGTATTCCACTAATCACACACAGATCAAAG